TTTGTACGCCTTTCTGCAAATAATTTTACTAATCGCTCGTACGTCGTCTTCACAATGGCATATACCGGAAGAGATCGGCATCCCTTAAGCACGTGATTGTAGCTTTCTGAAAGATTAGTGGTCAGGATTCCATATCGAGCCCCACCATCGGAACAGAGTGCCCACTTCTCTAATGGCAAAGCCAACAACCAGTCATATGCCTCCTCCCGTTGTGACTTAATTTGTTGCATTGTTCTATTGAATTCAGAGACATCTGGGGTACTAGCTGCATGATACATAAAGCCCTTCAGTTTTTTGCTATTGAACTTCTTCTGAAAATTACTTCTCAAGTGGCGCAGGCAATATCTCCTGGTGACACGATGTTCCAATAATTGGGGGATAGTATTGAAAGCTACATCAATGCCACCGTGCCTATCAGAAATGATGCACACTGACATATCATAAGGTACTACATAATGCATTAAATGCATCATGAACCAGCTCCAACTATCCCCGTCTTCTTTGTCAACAAGGGAATAGGCTAAGGGGTAAATCTCGTGATTTGCTGTCATTGTTACTGCCAACAACAACACCCTGTAACACCCGCCTTCCGTGGACCCGGTTCACCCGCGACCCAACGGACTGGTAGGGTTACATGGACAGTCCGAGTGGGTGCCATCAACAGAGATCACGGAAAAACAGTACTTGAACCCATCTATAGACGCTTTGAAAGACCATAAAACATACATGAATTGAAAAGTATGTGGCGTTGTTGTTGGGATATTTTTTTAGTTGGGTGGATTGAATGATGTGAGATTGTTTGTAGTGTAATGTGAGATATTTTTTTTTGTTGGGTGAATTGTATGGTGCAGGATTGTTTGTAGTGTAATGTGAGATTTTTTTTAGTTGGGTGGATTGAATGGTGTAGGATTGTTTGTAGTGTAATGTGAGATATTTTTTAAGTTGAGTAGATTGTATGGTGCAGGATTGTTTGTAGTGTAATGTGAGATGTTTTTTAGTTGGGTGAATTGAATTGTGTAGGATTGTTTGTAGTG